GGGTAAACATCCCAAGAATGGAGTTCTGTCCCCGTATAAGAACTGAAGAGGCATCTTGCTCCTCTCTGTTGAAAGCAAAGTTCTTTGGAAGATCATTCTAGAAAGGATGAAGGATTCTCTTGATGACAGAATTCGGGATAAGCCAGCAGCATTTCGCTATCCTGCTGTGAACAGACTGCTACACTGAGGATTATCGTGGAGCAGACCTTGGAATGGAACACTGGGCTATATCTGCTTTTTGTAGACTTTGGAAAGTCCTTTGATCCTTTGGATTGGGAGGTGCTTTGGAAGATCTTGCAGCACTACGGAATCCCTGAGAAAAATCGTGAGGATGATCCGGGTCTTTTACGATGGCTTCCCAGCAAGGGTCTTGAGCATGAGTTATGGAGTAATGGAGTCCGCCAGGGATGCCTGCTCAGCTCCCTTCTCTTCCTCGTCGCGCTAGATTGGGTATCTCGTCACATCCTTGGTGATAATGAGACAGGATCCAACTTACCCTACTGCGGACGTTATAGGACTTGGACATTGTGGACGACATGGTTTTGCTGAGCTAGAAGATCGCCCACATGCGTCAGAAGTTCGAGGCACCACAAGCACAAGCTGCAAGGGTCGGGCTCAAGGTAAATGTAACAAAAGCCAAGGAGATGAGAATTCGGTCCCCCAGCAAACACTGGTAACATCAGCTGGACTTGAGTGATCCTGGTGCGGGTAACAGCCTTCACATACGTGGGAGGCCTTATAACCACTGGCGACACTGAGGAAGATGTTGAGGTTAGGTGCAGGAAGTCACATGCTGCCTTCTCCATTTTAAGACCAATATGGAGATCAAAGTTCATCTCTCTGTGACGAGGATCTTCAATTGCAATGTGAAGTCGGTTCTGCTTTATGGTTCCGAGATCTGGAGACTAACAAAGAAGATCAACGCCCAAATCCAGACCTTCATCAACCGGAGGCACCGGTACATCTTAGGGGTGTGGTGGCCAGGGAAGATCTCCAGTGAGGAGTTGTGGCAGCGCACCAGGCAGGAGAGAATTGAAATCACCATCGGAAATGGAGATGGATTGGCCACACTCTGAGGAAACCTGCCACCAACATGTACCCAACTGTCCCTTGAGTGGAACATTCATGGGGCTAGTAGGAAAGGCATACCGAAGAAGTCATGGAGGAGGACTGTAGAGAAGAAGGATGAGGACTTGGGATGACATGGAATCAAGCGAAAGGGACTGCAGAAAACCTTGTCCGATGGAAAGGTGCAGCGGTGGCCCTATGCCTCGGTCGGAGCGGAAAGGACTAAGCACCTCTTAGGGGTGAAAAACATTTCAAGCAATGCCCACAAAACAAGATCTTGGTACCTCTTAGAGGTTCTTTTCAAAATCTTTTCTTGTTATACGGTAGTCCCTTCCTCGGGAGCTGTGCACGGATGACATTATGATTCATGGTACATTTCCTTGTCGTCCTCTGCAACACAACAACGTGAAATGACCGAATTCTGCATTGTCTGGAGAACGTGAACCACAAAGGCTTATTTTTTGAACTTTTGATTTCAAGATTATCGCTGTGTCCCAGATACAGACTCGTAATGGTTTTGACAGTGAGAAAAAAACTTAATGACTTTAGAGTATCTTGAGATTCGTAATTAAAATATAAAGTCATTTTGTTAATCGACGTTTTTCTCGCCGTTGCCTTCGTGGTTACTTAAACTCCCTAATTACCCATATATAACGTGGAAACAACGTCATAATTATTATTCAGGAACGGTCGCCATCTTCTTATATTTCCTCATCTTGGATTACATCATTAAAAAAATGTATAAAAAAACACACCAAAACTGGTTCAGACATAGTCAAAACCGACAAAGAAAGTGAAAGGTACCTAAAGAATACTAATAAAGTCTAGTAAGAATACCACTTTAGCCCATGTACTTACCAATGGCAAATAACAACACAGAGGCGTTAAGGAGCACAAAAATGACATTCAAAACGACGGAGTCGTTCTCCATCTGGTCCTGGTGGTCTGGTCTCCAGTTTGTATATACTACACCAAGGCAAACATCAAAGAAAATGACCCACAGCACAAACGTTTGCAGTCGATCTTCAAACTTTCCTTTTATTGGTCGAAAGAAGGTGTACGCTACTCCAAATGCGCTCACTGTTAACATAGTGAAGCTAATTTGAGAGGGACTTTCAGATCCGAAAAGAAACACCAGTGAAATAAGAATTAGCTTACGATACATCTCTGTTATCTCCCAGAACCAAAATTTCTTCTTATAGTTTTCAAAGAAAACTTTCAAGCCAAAAGAAATTTCTTCTTCTTCCTGTGACTCACGGTATTTGTACATGAGAGACAACACCAGAAGAGGAAATCCCAAAGGATAAAATGCAAACACAGCAGCAATGGGCCAGAAAAAGTTGTGACGAGGAGTAAAACATTGTATGGAGTAGTCCGCTCTCAGGAAGAAATTACATTGACCCTTTTCATCTGTGAAACACGTCTCTACACATGCGCCAGGAAGAGGCAGAGTTTGAATAATTGTTTTACTTGTTGTCGAGTAAGAAGTCAGTAGAAACAGAAAAATGTTCCGATAGCAGGATTTCTTCAAACTTGAAACTGCACGTAGTTTCTCGCTATCAGGAATATCCACCTTCGTTTTGACGTATCTCTTTTTGAGGAAAAGATAAAGAAGAATTATGAAAACAACAACAACATTCAGAGAAATGATCCCTAGGAATTTGGCAAACTGATCCATCCGCAATTGAGAATGAATGCAGCTTAATGGGGCAAACTGCAAAATATTTCCTTCGAACAAGTTGAGATATTTTTCCATAGAGATCAAAGCTACCGGCCATCGAACTCTCGTCAACGCCGAGAAGATACCGGCAATAACTTGGTAAAATCCAATCACTATTTTAAAGCAGGACATGATGATATCTGCAATGGTTCGATCATTCTCAGTCTGCTTCGAGTCTCCCCAAAGAACCATCAGAAACACAGCAACAAAGAGTACAACCAACAAAATGGATGAAATTATTGTGACAGTTAACCGTGGACATTTCAGACAGTTGTTAAATCGGAAGTAAAAGCCGTTTGTACAAGAAGCACACAAGATCCCTTTATATCCTTTTTGGCATTCTGAGTTAATCCCTCCCTTGCAGGAATTGGCATGAGGACATTTTATTGGTTTTGGTAGTGAAGCCGTAAACGTGGAAAAGGTGTTGTTGTATTCAGGTCCAAAAGTGTGGATGTTGTTAACAAAGCTCCCATAACGCTCCTTCAGAGTTTGGTCAGACCATTTCCAGAAGTAATTCGGCGCAAGTATCGCTGTATCGTTCTCACAGACAAAACCATAGGCGGGACAGGCTGAACAGGCTCCAAAACGATCCAAGCGATATAAATTGCGCAGGCATCTGCATGCACGATAACCAGCGGTCACATTCGATTGAGTTCCTGATGAAAGGAAAAATAATTAATGAATCTATTTAAAACTATAAGTGTGGACAAATCTCAGTCAGTTAAATAGCAAAATAGCATCAAATGTGTATACTTTCATTCAAAATTACTGGATATGAGATTTAGCAGGATTAAGGCCGAAGGTTATAGAGCCAAAGGCTGGGACGGTTAACACAAACTAGGTATTTGTTTCGTTTCACATTTGTAGCCTCTAAAGCTCTATTTTCGGTAATTGTGGGATATCTCAAATTTCCTTCTCCCAACACAAGTGACAGTGCGTAGCCCAATGACGCCATGTCTGCTGCAACAAAGCAATTACGGGTAGATGTTGAATATTCAATTAAATTGACTATATCAGGAGTCCACGGGCTCTGGGTGTATGCTCTCAGCCAAAGAGGACACAAAATGCAGAGTAATTATTTGTTAACTCCGCTGTACTATTTTCGCTTTTGATTCGATGAAATATAAAAATTTGTTTAACCTACGTGCAGACGTCTAATATGAAATGAAGAATATGGTAAACGTCTAGACACAGACCAAGCTTAAAGTAAACACGCTTCCACATTACACAGACAGCCTAGTAAACCGTGGGAAAACGTGTGACTGAATATCATTAAAAATTAGTCTTGGTTTTTGGATGTCAAAGTTGCGTGTGTTTGTCAAGCAATCGCTTAGCGTAATCATGCAAAACCAAAAGAAATGCGAATTACTTTCGACACTCAAGTAAAAACCACTCTAGCCAATAGCTGAACCAAAAACACATTCCTTACCATATGGGCATGCCCGGCAGCTAACGGCACTTGTACCAGGACGATCTTTCTCGGAGACAAAAGTACCATTACTGCATGTTTTACAATCAATTTGCCCCATTTGATCCTGGTAAAAACCTCCTGTGACGCAAAAGAAAACAAACAAACAACAAAAAGCAGAATAATCAAGTTATGATGTGAGCTTTCAGCTATATAATTGGTTTACTTTTTTTTATTTTCCTTTCAGCATTTGTTTCATTTGGTCAAAATAAATATGGAAAAAGCCCTTGGTGGTTATAAAGCAGTCACCACATTTAAATTAACAGACGAGTAGCATTTGGTGCTATGAAAAGCAGGATAAAACTGGCATTATAATTGACCAGAGATCGATTCCCACCCCCCTCCTCCCAAAAAAGATCAACTATATATCAAATCTATTCCATACATATCCATATGAATCGTGGAAAAATGACCAATAAATTTGTTGCGCAAAATTAAGAAAGTCATATGCGCCCTCTTGTATCAGCATCACCCGATATGTCCAGCAACCACCAGCTATAAAACATCTAATCCATCCAACGGAAGAGGGATAGCTTAGGGCTCACTACTCCTAGTTTGGGAGAAAATGTGGAAGGAGGAGGAGTTGTTTAAAGAATTTGATTTCTTGGACAGTAATTTATACAAAATTTGGCCTATATCACTGTGGAACAGTTGCCCACCGAAAACCAATTAGTCGAGGAAGAAGTTAATACACTTTGTTATACAGCTACCGGCTCCATATACCAGAGAAGGCATAAAGCCCATGTTGATACTTGGTGCCAGAGCACAGTGCCCGAGTACAATTCTCGCTGGACAATAATGTGAACACACCTTTGTTTTTTTTTCTAAATACAGAGTTCCCATACCCAGGTACAAGGTCTCGACCTTGTACTCGAGCACCAAATGGTACTTGGATACTTAGACTACCAGTGTCTGAACGCAACACTATTTTGTGCCGGTGTCCAGGCATCAGTGCTCGGGCGCCAAGTGTGAACGAAGCTTAAGATACAATTTTCGTGGCAGTGTGTATCAGGAATTTTATTTTTTTCGTCAATATTCTGGCAGTTACCTGCCGGACACATTTCACAGGAGTCATGCTTGCCTCTGTAGGTACCAGGTACACAAAGACTGCAATTTAAACATCTGGAGTCATTAACGTATCCAGTGTGACAATTATGACACACAAAGCCCGAGCCTGTCAAACCGATTTTGTAATCCACGTCTTGGAGCAAAAAGATATGGAACGATGCTGACGGGGCGCACTTACTGTGTGGATATAAAATATGACAATATGCACAATTATTTCTTTCAAGTGAGAAAATCGTATTCTTTCTTAGTACTAGTAATTAATTTCTTTTTAAAATTAAGATGGTAATAATAATGATAATAATAATAATAATAATAATAATAAT